TGATTGATTGGTCACTGCAATACCGCTGTGGGATAAGGAAGTATTATTAGTGCCAATTTACCAAGGAGAAAACTGAGGCATGGGGAACCGAAGCCAGAGTAAGGTCATGTAGAAAATCTCTATCGACAGAAAGCCTGAAATAAAGTCTCCTGACTCCCAGTTTGGTATATTAACCACCAGAACCAATTTTCTACCTCAATGTTTATATCTGTCTATACAGAAGTAGTCAGTATCCATGCTTTCTAACTAGGCAATAACATTTGAAATGATGGGCAATTATACTAGATACCTCCATAATTACAATGAAAATGATAGCATGTGCCAAAGGCCAATTTTCTTCAGTACCAGTGAACAACAGTTGTCCAGCATAACTTTGAAACCTGCTCTTTCTGAGATTTATTGTTACAGCTGGCTAGTTGGTTTACACCATTATGTCGATTTCTACTTGCACCATCAAAAACTTTCCTAATCCACTCTGATTTCCTTCTAAATATTCAATATTGCTATCATCGCAGTGTTTTGAAGTCATGGATGGATTTGGGGGGCAGTGTTTGAGTCTGAATATTTGTATTGTAAACAGCTTCTATGCTGAGTTGTGTTGCTGGCATTAGGTGTGTTCATTTTTTGAAAAACAGTAAATGACATATTGCTCCTCCTAAAAAGAACCATGGCAAACATTTCCTCTAGGAGATCATTTAATTTTCCCATTATTCTTTCCTTCCCTTAATCCTCCCATCAATAGTGTGTGGGAAAAAAGAGCAATACTGATTTCCTTACAGAAAATCTGCCCTGGGATCCAGGATGCCAAAGGACCTTAGCCCTTAAGGCACCTGATTTCAGCAGGAGAAACCCAGTGTTGTCTGCAGTCATCCATGCTTCTGCCATTATCATCAGTTCTCTGATTTTTTGCCACTACCTGTGTTAGGTGTCTCTTCCCGATTTAGGGCTTGATCTGATCCAAAGTTCACTGAAGTCAGTGAAACTGCTCCTGTTGGCTTCAGTGGCCTCAAGATAAGACCTGCTGTCAGTAATGCAGCTTCTTAGGATCCTCACAGTCTCTGGTTTTTGAAGCCAAACTGGGAGAGGAGATAATGGAATGCTATTTACAGCCCCATGAAGCTGCTTTACTGAAAAGCTCAAGCCTGCCCTACCATTTAACAGAATGACCATAAAGGTTCCTTTACATGCACTTTGCATCCAGGTTTTCTGGAGCCCAGAGGACACAATTTATGTTGGGGATTCCAGTAGCCCTGCAGTTCAACCCTTATGTTTCATGATATATAGAGGTCACTAGCAGAGAATGCAAAGACAACTTTCCTATGGTGGATTTACTTAAAAAATCTGCATGCTATGTAACATCTTGCATTGAAGTATCAAACAAGTTGCTCTGGAAGGCAGGAAGCTGAACTAGGTAAATTATTTGTTTTTGATCAGTTCTAAAATAAAAGCTCCCTATCCTTTTGTTCCCCCCACTAAGATTAAAGATATTTTTTCTCTCCTCCACTGAGGTGAAGGATTGTGACTGTCTTTAAATTGGATGGAGTAAGTGAGCAGGAGGAGCTAAAAATATGGTGCTTCAAAGTCTCCAAAGCATCATTAGAAAAAAATGAGAAGCACAAAAAGAAAAGGGCAAGCACATTAGCACCGTCTCCAAGGTAAAATATAACGTCAAGGCTTCCACTTCTTATAAGAAACCAGGAAACTTTCTTGGATTATTTTTTAATTGCAAAACATAAATTATATATTTTTAAACATGTGCATAAGAATGTTAACAATTTATGTATACCTTAGTATTAGTAGCAAGCTTGCAGTTTAGTGTCAACATCCTGACCCTATTACCAGCAGACTCTATCCAACCAAATGTCAGATTTTTAGTTTTCATGGGGATAGAGGGGAAGAAGTGCATCAGGGAGATGGGATCTGGCAAATGCCAAACATAACCTGTTACTTATTCTTTGGGGTAGTGAGTAATAAAGAATCAGCAACACCTTTTGCCAGCTTCAGAGTTTAAGTAACAAGCATGTGGACTCTGTCTATATACTCTTCTTCAAACTTCCAGTCTTGCCTCCTTGATGAGAAGGAGCTGGAAAATTGTTTTAGTCCCACTCAGTACTTGACTGTATACTCAGTATTTGATTGTACAGATATCCCTGTTCAGGGGAGGTTCTTAAAGTTGTGTGCATGTCTGTGAAAAATGATGTGTATCTGGTGGTAGGCTGCAGGGAGTTGACACCGGAGTTGCCTGAATGGAGTCAAGAAGATGCCTCGGCTTCATTTAGTTGAAGCTGCTCTGTAGACATGGTGTCTCCAGGAGGGCCATTAATAATAAGAAAGCAGAGAGGAGGTTTTAAGCATCTAAAAGATCATCAAACAGGGTACAAATTATTCCTGATTCAAGGATCTGCTCTGGATGCTGACGTCTTGGTTAGGCGTCTTTTCCTTCAGTCCTGGAAATTTGCTATAAACTATTTTCTTTGCAGATTCCAGGATGAGAAATCAGCTGCTTATAAGAGTGCTTAAATGACAACTGTTTTTTATTTGCCATTTTGGGCCCTCTCCAGTGTAACGTGTGGATGCCAAACTCTAGTTGTGTTCAGTGGGAGTTGGGGGTATGAAGGCATAGAGGATTCAGGCCATAGTAGTTTTTGCTTTGCCCGTTAGGGTGCTGGGAGAAAAAGTAGAATGTTGTGATATTTTCCTCTACATTTCTCATGAACCTTGATAACAACCCCCTTCTCCCCTGCCACATGCACACTTATCTGCTATATTTTATCCTCAGTTGTGTTTTTGTATTTAGGAACTACTACAGAGTGTATGTGTTATGTCATTGACACTTCTCAAGACTAGTCTGTCTTTACTTTGTCTTTGAGGTCCAGCAAATCCCATCCCAAGACCAGGTCTACACCATAGTTGTGCTGACATAGCTACGTTTGTTAGGACTATGCAAGTGTCACACCCCTCAGCTATATGCTTAAACTGACAAAACTTGCCAAATTGGTATACTTTATATGGGCAAATGAGTCCTCTGGGCACACATTGCATCTCTGGGGAGGTGGTTTAACTATCCTGGCAAGAGCTCTTTTGCCTGGTATAAGCTGTCTCCACTAGAGGGCTTTGCCTGCATAGCTATACTGATACAGCTGTATCAAGAGACCCTTTGTCGGGTAAACTATCCCTCTGACGGCATTAGGAATTGCATGAGGTAGAAAAAAGAGTTTTGTCTGTAGTTCCACATCCTTTATAACCTTCTGTCACTGCAGTACATGATACAGGCATTTTCCTAGATAGAACCATTTACCTGAAGCTGTGGGTGGTGGACAGTTGCAGACTGGCTCAGGACACGCTAGTAGGTAATCTGGAAATTTGCTTTAGGACACAGAGAAGGACTTTGAAATCTTAGGAGTTATATTGTCTAAGGCATTTCAAATAACTCTTGATTCACACTTCACAGAACACTTGCAAGTTTTGTAGCTTACTGCTTTTGAGTGAGAGGTTCTACATGTGGAGGTCATTTGAGCCCAGTTTTCTCTCCTGCCCAGGCAGGCGGTCGGACTAGAAGATCTACAAGGTCCCTTCCAACCCTACATCTATGAATTTATGAATCTATGTGAACAGCAAGTGATAGTGCTTAAAAAGTATGTAGAAAAGTTTGTGAATGCACAATGAGAAGCCGTATTTTGAAAATGTGGTGCTTAATATCCAGGAAGAACAGAGGAGGACTTTGTCTGGAGGATTTTGACATCATAAACAGCACGGTGTGCCTTAATTCACCTTGCTTTGGAAAGGAGGAGGACTGTGTCAGTCCTGCTGGGGTTTATACCTGTGGTTCAAGGCAATCCAGCTATTCCAAATCTGTGGCTTCACTCACTAAGTCCCAGTCTGTCTGGTGAATGTTTTGCTTTATTTTTCTAAGAATGGATAGGGATAATGTAAAATTATTAGGAGAAGATCCATACATCTCTATGTGAAGACTACACTATTATTATTGCTTTTTGTTTGTATTTCTGGATTGGATTCATATAAAAAGCTTAATTGTGCTATAAAATGTAAAATAGGCTGAGGACAGTGCCCTATTTCAATAGATTTATTATTATATTAACTCAGTGTATCTCAAGAGAATGGATTTCCTGAGCGTGAAACATTTTCCTGGAAGTGGAGCATTTGTGGCGTGTGTAGAACTGTGTGACGAAAACAGTTTTCCAAAATTGTCCTTGCTCATAAAAGAAAAAACTTAGATCTTCCCAGAAGAGAATCATGATGTATTCACAATAGTAACGGAAATTTAATATTTTTTCACTCTTGTCTTTTTTTAGGAGCTAGTCAAAGAACTAAGCATGCTGTTAATCTCATTCTCACTCTCATGCAGTTAAACATGTATTACAGTCAAATGAAAAGGTTTTTTAAGGTTTTCTTGTGGTTGTAAGGCAAGGTTAAATTTAATTATAAGAAACCAGATGAATACATTTTAATATATCATAAATACAGTTTACCTTTCAAAACTCCTTTTAGAAAAAATATATTCATGAAAATGTTAATGTGGAAACCAGAGTTAATATTTTGTATGAAATAAGGATCAAATTGAATTCCATTCCAATAAATTCTGAACTGTGGTAAGTTGGATGAGGGAGACTTCAAAAATTATAAGTGAAATTTAAAAAGCCTCATTGAAGCATATTACAAAATTCTTCATCACAAGAAGGAGATAGCTTAAACAGCTTTTTTATTAATAAAAATGAATCTTAAAATCTCTGTACAAATAAATGAGGCTTGGCAGGTCTGTGCATACACTGGACTTGTATAGTGTCTACAGAGTTTCTGCTGAGCTACTGAGATTCCTTTTTAAGGGCTTGGTGAGGTTAGGAAAAAGGGGTAAGCAACATGCAAATAGATATGGCGTTTATGTCTGCTTGAATATCTTTCAGTGAGGCAAATGTGGAGGAAGTCATATTTTGTCTGTAATGGTGGTAGCCTGATTACCCCAGGTTGATCTTTTTTCTCCCTCCTTGCCTCACAGGTTGTGACATGTGTGCTGATAACCGCAATGGTGAGTGCCCCATGCATGGGCCCCTTCACTCTCTGCGTCGTTTAGTGGGCACTAGTAGTGCTGCTGCAGCAGCACCTCCACCCGAGATCCCTGAGTGGCTCAGGGACCTGCCCCGGGAAGTGTGTCTGTGCACCAGCACTGTGCCTGGTCTGGCCTATGGCATCTGTGCTGCCCAGAGGATCCAACAGGGCACCTGGATTGGACCTTTCCAGGGAATCCTCCTCCTACCAGAGAAGGTTCAAGCAGGAGCCATCAGAAATACACAGCATCTCTGGGAAGTAAGTCATTTTCCTTCCATTCTTTAGAGAACATAAGTTTTACAGTAATCAATCTCAAATATATATTGGATGCAGAGTTTAGTTCTATTGTATAGAATCATAGAACTCGTTTGATCCAAAAGTCCCTACCATGGAATTAAATATGTAGCCAGAAATATGTACCGGGAAGGCTTTTCCACACATTCTCCAACTGAGGGAGTACTGGCAACTTAGTAAGAGCCATAGAATGCATTTAATTTGCATAAAAAAGAAACAGATTTCTGTAGATTCTCTCATCTTTAACATAGAGATCTTGTCTGAGAGGAATATGCACCCCAATATACAATGTTGTTTTTTTCATTGTGATTGGAACAGCTCTGGCTACTATTCTGTATGTGTCTCATCATCCCAGTCTGAGTGGGACATACACAGATTCAGATAGTACAGTACATGCTAGACCCATCTCTGTGGTCGATTGCTAGTCAAACAATGAGGGTAAAGATGAAGGTGATCACCTTCTGCTTTGTAGAACTTTGTAGATGAAGGTGATCACCTTCTGCTTTGTGGGCCACATTTTGATGAGACACTGGGTGCATCTACACATTCTACACATTCATCTGGGTGCATGTACACATTCATTAATGCACCTTTGCTACTGAGTTTGCATGTTTGCACCTTTGCTCTCATTGAGTTTAGTACCTCTACTATGAGGTACTAGATAAAGATGCAGGAGCTGCACTAATACTCAGTAGCAAAGGTGAATTTTTTTTTTAAACTTAATGTGCAGTAGACTAATTCTGTGCATTAGCACAGTTTTGCTGTGATGCACTAATGCACAGTGGAACAGTCCACTGCACATTAAGGTGTCTTATGTAGACGTGCCCACTGAGTTTTGGCCATCTCTTCAGTAGCAGGATGTTCAGAATCCTAGTTCAAAACTGACAAACAGAAAATTAAAATTGAATTCTTTCTATTAGTCATCTTCTTAAAGAGAGGTGTACAATACTATTTGTTGGAAGGCAATAATAATCAGTACAAAGTCATTTCAGGATTTGAAGCTTGGGCTGTATTTTGATGGACATTGGCTTTAGCTTCCAGTCTAGTCAAGACTAAATCTATATTGTGTTCCTTTACCTCCTTTACCTTTAGCCATATAGGGGCAACCATAGTCACTGCTCTGCTACACACAATAGGTTGCCACAATAATTTTAGAAGTTACTTTCAGAAGTTTAAATGAAAAAAAAATGTCTGCAATTTGAAAACTAGCATCTATATTGCAGTATGCAGGAAGCTATAATTTTACAACAGATGATAAATAATTATCTCCAGCAATAGTTCATTAGTTAAGAAAACAGAAAATGTTTATTTTAGAGTTTAATAGTTAACAGATCATATGTGCCATCCTGCTACACCTATCATGTCATACTACTTCTTAAATTGCTTGTTAGAAAAGAAGGAGTAGCATCCTGTTATGTCAGTCCTAATTCTGGAAGTCCTTTGTGGGCAGAAATAAAAAGGAGCAGCATCTTAGGCCGTGTGTAGACAAAATGAGAGGCTTGTGTGCACAACACCTTAAAGCGGGCTAAATGCTTTTGCACCGCTTTGATGGTGTCGGTGTTTACATACCTTGATGGTGTATTGCACATTAATTCCAGCTGCTGCAGGAAGTTTGGTGGCGTAATGTGCCTTAAATTACGTGGGGCACAGCAAACTAAAACTCCTTCAAGGAGTTCTTTAGTTTGCTGCCCCTACAGGAGCAGAGTGAAGCACTGGGCTCTGTGCAGCTCTGTGGCTCTGCAGGAAGCCCTGCAGGCAGCCTGGCAGCAGCCCAGGAAAGCAGGCTTCACCCAAGAAAAGTGATGAACCTGATCTTTTTTTCCCACCCCCTGGAGCCTGCCTGCCTGAGCTGTGTGGGGGCCTGTGTGGTGTTTCCCTCCATGGCTGTGGTGCCCCCTGGGACCGCCCAAGCTGGGTGCCTGCGGGTGGGTGCTGCATGGGGGTGGTGCCACTGCCATGGAGGGAAGCACCAGCCCCCCAGCAGCCCAGGGACTGCTTCACTGGCTGGCAGCTCATCCACCCCTCCCTGCCAGAGAGGCAGGTAAGTCAGTGGGATGTGCGCACGACATGGGGGTTTAATCAGCCCTAAATTAAAGCAGTGTTTTTTAAAACCCACCACTTCAATTTAGGGCCCCTGTTTTGTCTACACATACCCTTAAGAGTCTCAATGGGATTGTGCCCCTAGTGTAGAAGAGAAGGAATTTGTCATCTTGGTGGCCCTAACCCGGGGGGAGGTAATTATTTTGGGCGGAGGGCCGCTTGCTGAGTTTTGGTAAGCCATCGAGGGCCGCATGACAGGTAGCCCAGGGCAGATAAATATTAATTTTCTAAATTTTTTAGAGGCCCCGCAGGCTGGATAGAATGTCCTGGTGGGCCACATCCGGCCCCTGGGCTGCATTTTGCCCACCTCTGCTCTAACCCCACACCTTAATAACCACATTTTCATTACCATGTTAAACTTAGAAAAGTGTGTGCTACTTAGGAACTTGGTCTGAAGCCCACAGAAGAAAAGAGGGTCTTTTGTTAGCATTGTTGGGTCCTGCATTTGTCCCAAGTGTATCGCTATCATATAGATTTTTATTAGGCATTATGGAGTCAAACCTGTAAGTATGTAGTAAGTAACATTCATTCACAGAAGACCTGGGTGGATAACATAAAGAGTAGACAAAAGAAGAGTACTTAGTGTGGAAGCTCCTTGAAGAAGGTGCTGTTAAGGACCTACCCTGAAAAAGGTGTCTGTGTTGAAGTGCCTAGTATGATTTGGTCCTTGATGTATTACATTGGTTCTAGGCATTACACCTTATATCAAGGGCCTTTTCTTACATAAAACTGCTACTGAAGCTAGCAAGATTTTCACATAGGCTAAGTACAGAGAGTCAAAAAGCCCGAGGCTGAATCGATTCAATCTTCACAAGTTAGTCTAAGCTGTGTAGATTGAACCGATAAGCAAGTGAACACTTTTGATTCTGGAAATGCATCCACATGCCTGCAGTGGCCCAAGCCAGAAGCGGGGGAGTGCTAAAGTATGCTTCCCTGATCGGCTGAAGCAGACAGCTTGGGCCAAGGCTAGCCTGCTCACCCTGTGAGTGAAGGTTTGTGGGGGAGTGCAAAGCATCCTGGGATACTGGGGAACTGTGAGTTAACTTGAATCTGGAGGGGATCTGGGGCAAAAGTTTAATACACAAATTTAACCTAAATCAGTTAAATCAGATACTACATCCATCCAGGTTTATCTTAAATTGGTTTGGGCCATTTTGAAAGTGGTTTATGTGCACAGAACTTCTGTTCTGTTACAGATTTGAACAGATTTCCTACCACTTATACTGGTTTGTGGGTAATTTGTGTCCCTAGCTCCATTGTGTTACAGATTTGATTACTTATGCTGGTTTATGTGTAATTTCTGTCCCAGCCATAAAGACTATATGATCAGTTCTAACACTTGCCCTAATGCAGTGGGGGAAATCATGGCCCTGTTGAAGTCTTTCAGAATTTTGTCATGGCTTTCAGTAGGGTCAGAATTTCACTTATTTTGTATAATAAATATGTAATATATTGGGCCTGATCCTATTTCTGTTTAAGTTAATTGACATTTTTCTATTGACTTAATGGGAACAGTTGAGGCACTGTGTTATAATTCATATATAAACCAAGTACTCTAATGATGTAGTAGTGCTTATTTCTGACATAGAGTTTTGTGGTTTAGTTTATCTTAAGTTGAATAATATGAAATTAAAAAAAAATAATGGTCCAGATCCTCAGCTTGTTTAAATCATTAAAGTTTAGTTGAAGTCAATGAAGAAAAGTGATTTTATATCAGACCTGTATATGTTTATATAATTCATTTTGTCCAGTACTTTGATTTCTTAGTTAGATGTTAGTTACTTTTATGCAAGTTATAAATGTAAAAAATATTTTAGAAAGTGAACATTTTAGCTTGATTTTAACTTTACTTGAACATAGTTTGTTTTGAAAAGTCAGTTTTTTGTCCTTTGATAGACAATGGTGGGGAGGGCAGGGTGGGGGGAGAACAGAGAACTGTCAAAAATACTGATTGAAAGAACTCAAGAATGCAGTACTCTTCAGTACTCAAAAATAGTGTGTTAAAACCGCAAAGCAATGGTGGAAGTGAAAAGAATAGAGAATGAAGAAAATATGTTAATGAAAAAATATTCACAGTATTTATGTATATACCCAATACAGGGGACTTCTGAGCATTGTGCTGTTTTTTTCTTGTATCTGCTATGCACAGAAAAATGTTATGTGTGCGCATGAATTTTGGGTATGATATTTTTTAAAAGAAAAAATAGGCTTATCAGGGAGAGGGGAGGTTTATGAACTCCAATTCTTCATCAATGCAAAAAAAAAAAATTCAAGGATCATAAAGCCTCCACAAATGTGGACATTTTTTTATTTATTTTGATCCTCAAATTAGTAAATCATAATTTAAGTACTGGTATTTATAAGCAGTACATATGGGAAAGGCAGGTTATAAGGAAGGGCTTTTGGGTTTACAACATTATTTCTGAGAATAAATTAAAACGCATTTGAATTTTCTGGATTCTGTCAGTGTAACTGACATAAATATGTTGACTAATTCAAATAATAAAAAGTAAAGGAATGGATTATTGCTGTCCCTTTATAAATTTCAAATGTAGTTAATTCCCTTCCACTTATCTTTTTAAGTCAGTTACAAATATAAAAATGTTCACAGATTAGTAATTTGGCATTAAAGTCCTGATGGATCGTATAGTGGTGACTTATCTTTTTTTGGTACCATAAATAGATTTCTAATATTTTTTCTCTCAGCATTGCAAAGTTAAGTTGATGGATTTTTGTTTCATTATAGAGCGCTTTGTTTGCAGTGTGTGCTAAAAAAATTGAAAGACTATTGCAAAGACAAGCACAGAAACTGATTTGGTAACTTTTTATTTCTTTTGTTGTGGCAAACATGAAATCATTGCATT